GTTGCAGAAAATCAAGCTCGGGGCTGTGGTGAGTGGTCATTTTCATGCACTTTGAATTTGCGTTGTATCGTATTTTGAAGGCATTAAACATTGCCATAGCGATCGGAGTGTTGCGGCCAGATTAGACGCTCCTTGTGTTTATTATTATATTTCGAAAACACCACAGTTTTCATGCAGCTCATACCATATTATTTTGTTGTATTATTTCCGCCACACCTTAAATGCCGGTCCCTGAAAATATTGTCTGACATAAACCGGTCCGTGGGGCAAAAAAGGTTGGGGGCCCCTGGGTTAGTATGACTATTTTTTTAGCGTGACGACGGCATGAACTCTCCCTTAAAACATGCCAGTGAGAGAAGAACAGTGCCCTGGGCACTTCCCGTCCCATCTTGGTCGGGTTTTACGGTAGTATGACTGACGAGGGTTATACAGTAGTTAGTATGATTAGGTTGAGTATTAGGGTTAGTATGACTCAGATTAACCCTTTCAGGGACAGCGGTTACTACAGTGGACAGGTTATCAGGTTACAGGGTGCATGAAAAGGTTCAGGTTGGTATGACTCAGGTTAGAATTCATATGACAATGATGAGGGTTATTAAGACCATGAGGGTTAAGATTAGTGTAACCAGGGTTAGGGTTAGTTTGGCCGGGATAAGCACTATTAGTTTGATTGGTGTTCTGATCAATATGACTAAGGTTAGCGCTCCCACAACCGGCCGTCCCGGCAAAGACAAAAGGCCTGAGTAGAAAAGTGCCTCTAAATTCTTACCAAATTTCCCAAGCACATTGTACAAGCGGGCTGGAGTTTACCGGGGTTAAAGTTTGATTACCTTAGGGTTGGGTTTGTGAGACTAGAGTAGGGTTATGCTGGAGGATCACTGTATTTTACATGAGTAAACATCTTGTTGCCATTCAAGGCAGTATAATTGCACATATGGTATGTCATGTTTGAAAAGCACCGCGCCTCTATTTGTGACCGGTGGGATTTTTGGCACCATTTAATAATAGCAATCACCATGTTTACATTTTTTATCCATATTTTTTCCATGTTCTGATGATGCAGGCAGCAAATAATCAACATCAACACATCTCTAATTAACTGACGTATTGCTCCGCCAGCAAGCGCCTCCAATGTGTTTTCATTTTAGAACATATTGGCAGCCAATACATCATGTACAGCAAATATTGCATCATTGAACCCCTGAGGTGGTTCCATCAAAATGCACGTTTCATACTCTTGCCTTTTAGGTCTTGGGACCATATAGACATTTTAACTTTTCAGTACAAATAATAACGTTCCACTAATTATCCTGACACTAACGAACTGCACTCCATCATGGGATAGAATAACTCTTCGACTGTTCGATCCCCTCAGTGTGTTTTACAATAAACATCTTTTGATGTTCAGACTTCAATGGAACATGGTGTTCTTGGGTTATTCATATTGTTCAACTCCACCTACAGAGTGTTTGCTTCTCGAAATTGGAAAAAGAAAGGAAATCATTCCAGGCCTCATCTTTGCACATGCGACACATTCAAATAAAAACAAGAATGTTGCATTACTGATAAGATTTTTTCCCCTCCCATCATCCTGCTTTACACTTCAGTCTATCTCGTGTCAAGTGCTTAGCCATGTCTCCATCATTCCATCATTGAGGTCAAACGCCAAAGCAGGGACAATGAAAAGTCCCATTCAAGGACGGCGCGTCTCTTACCGCTCTTAGGATGGTGTCTCTTCCTCCACGCTATGTCCTGTGATGACGACTGACGGTGGTTTGTGTGTGCCTTATAAATACGCAGATGCTTGTGGGAGGATCTATAAGCACACGCCACTATCCACGCACTTCCAGCTGATCGTCTTGAGAATGGACCCGTTCTTCGGCGTCCGTGTGTCAGACTGTGTCCGTGTGGGATTAAAAATAATAATACGTGTCGTCACATGCGCATCTCCTCTGCGCCGGCAAGTGTAGGCGCGTTCACGCACGATTCACGCATCCAAATCTGCGCATCCGCGTGCACGCCGATGCTTTCTGCACACTCCACGTGGGAGCGTGCACAGAAAGCCGGCGCGCCCCCGTCAGCACATCATAGGCCAAAACAACACCTCGGATTTTGGCCATCACAAATTTGTGATACGAACACTGCTTTCATTAACGTGGCCACCATCGATGTATTTGTTCAACCATCTTATTTAAAGAAAACCAGAGAAAATCAGTCGTGATAGTCGAGGCGATTTTTTTCCACATACTGTACTTTAGTTCGTGTATTTAGTTTTTGTTATTATGGTCAGTTCCGCTTTCGTGTACAGATAGTCTGCCAGTTTACGATTTTTAATACATTTGCGTTGTCGTAAGATTTATACTAAATGTATATTTTTCTCAGAATCAAATGTAGGGTATTTGAGTTTGAAATAAAAACGCGTTTGGTGATAGACATAATTACGACGTTTATTTGAGTAATGAACGCAGCAGCTCAAGTATTGGCCAGTGTATCACAGTTTGCTATGACGTACTTTGATCACGTGTTCAGGAGAGATGCTACTTTATAACATGTAATCATAAAGCAAATTGACCTTAAAGCTTTTGGACAGTGTGTTTTTGTGTTTAGAAGCGTGTGCTTATATACCCATTTTTTCTAAATCGCCCAACTCACGTATTAGATTTACAGTTTTGAGTTAAATTCCCAAACGCGCCATAGCTCGTGAGCAGGCTAACGTGGTCACGTGATCAACTCTCAGTCGTTTGGCTCGGTGAAGCGTCGTCCCATTGGGGTTGTCCTTCTATCTAGTGCATGCTGTGTAGCAGTTAGCATGTTTGTAGCATGCGGCCAAACGCCCGTTAAAGATGGTGCACCTCTGTAGAATTCGCCTCCGTAAAGTAAGTAGTATTACTCAGCCGACTAGTGGCCTCGCTGATTTGCAAATAATTGCAAGCGCTTGTTAGTTAGTGACTCGCTACCAAGCTGTCTGCCCCGAGTTGTCAAACGGTGAATGGATGCTATCTGGGTAAACCGTGTACAGTATTACTATCACGCTTTTTAAAGCATAAAATTGAAACATGTAAAGGCCAACAGAGGCTGATTGTGCATGTTTTCATCGATTTAAAACAGCTCTCGCGAGCTTGTGAAGTGTTTTCGTCGAAATTCCCCTAGGATCAAGAAGTTCAGAGACACACACTGAACGGAAACAAAACAATTACGTTTTCGATCCTATTTTTCATGAGAATGCATCCACTTCACAGATGTGGCATTTTAAAATGTTCATTCGACAGCATGATCATGCACAGGTCTACCTTAGGCTGCCCACAATAAAAGCCCCTTAAAAATGTGCAGTTTCACTTAATGGGGGGGTTGTCTGGGGACAGAAAACCAGTCAGTGCTTGGTTGCAGAAAAACAATGAGCTGATAGGTGTCATGATTTGAAAGGCACCTCAGGCACCCTACTTACAAATAGGAATAGAACTATCACATCAGAAAAAGCACACGATCCGAAAATTGTCTGTTTTATTGGTGATATAAATGTAGTTTAAAAAAAAATGTCATGACATGTTTTTCCAAAAATCTTTTTCAGTATGGAAATTTCGTGGACAACCTTCGACTGTATGTCCGCGGAGGCGCTGGCGGCATGGGCTTGCCCCGCATTGGGGGCCACGGAGGAAACGGGGGAGACGTTTGGGTGGTTGCCACAAAGAGCATGACCTTAAAGAAGGTCAAGGAAAAGTACCCTCAAAAACGCTTTGTAGCCGACGTAGGAGGCAACAGCAGGTGGGAGCGTATAGTCTGGATGTTCAAGTGGAAGTTTTAATGAGGACGTATAAATGTTTGCTTTGTTTATTTGGCTAATAAAGAGCTTTGTCAACAGTGTGCGTTCCCTGAAAGGACAGAGAGGGAACGACACTGAGATTTTGGTTCCTGTGGGTGTCACAGTCACGACTGATGATGACAGGATACTCGGTAGGTCAAAAACTGCCTCATGCTTGTATTTTGTCTTCCTCACATGGTGTATACAGTTTGTTGTCGTCCTTAGTTTCACAAGGAAGGAAAATGGAGCAATTTAAGTTTGAAAACAATACTCTGGTGCCACTCTGCTATGTTCAAATATTTAATTTTTCCCATGGGGAACAATGTTAAAAGAAATAATCAGTTCCAGGCTCATACTATTAACAATAGAGGAGTGTTTTGTGGAACATTTTAACATTTCAACCAAAAAAAAAAAAAAAACCAAAAAAAAAAACAAACAAAAAAAAAACGCCAGTAACTGTTTCTTGTAATACAAGTGCAGTGTAGCCCTGCCTTGTCACCGTTCAGTTTTTGCGAATTTACATAATCTCAGATTGCTGAAAATTTCGTTCTTTGCTGTTTTTGGGCTGAGACAAAAGTAAAGTATTACTTTGGCACCATCTTGTGGAATGCTGTTGCTGTTTGATTTCATGTATTAATAGTGTCCTGTGTGAATTTGAGATATCCCGTTTTGTTGTCAATCCTTGAATGCATCATGTGCTCCCCAGAAGTGAAACCCAAAGTATGTTTCTGCTTCTCTCCCAATTAGCTACTTAGAATACTCCGCGTGGTCTACTTTGGTTTGGCATTACAATTTAACTGTATTTTTGCCTTTGGATGCCAAAAATTTCCTTTTGCACTCAAAACTGAAAGCATCGTAAAGCATCAACACGATTGCTTCGAGCATGTACACAGTCCTGCACCCATGTTGCATAGACGCCTGTCTTCTGGAGTGAAATTACTCAATGCAAACAAAGCACCTCCACATTAGGCTTTCCAGGCCAAAACAAAAAAGGACATCTCAAATGTAGACAAAAAAAAAAACCTGTCAGTGAATTCAAGTTTACAACTATATCAAGATTCCACCAGATGACACCAAAATAATAATAATGGCTTCTTTGTGAATTTGAATATTTGTGGGTTCACTCTATCCCACTGGGCCTCATTTGGTGATTGTGTTGTTGCTTCTCCATAAGGAGACTTGAATGCGGAGGGTGATCGAGTACTTGTGGCCAAAGGAGGACACGGAGGCTCCTTCTCCTCCTCCTTCCTGCCCAGTAAAGGCCAGTCAAAGCTTATCAGGCTGGACCTCAAACTCATCGCTGACATGGGCCTGGTGGGGTGAGTGCACAATGTCAAGAGTCTCTTACGTTCCATCAACTCGCAAAGTGGCTTGTGAAAACTTTTCTCTCCGTCAGGTTTCCAAATGCGGGAAAGTCGTCTCTGCTGACCGCCTTGTCTAATGCAACCCCTCAAATAGCCAGCTACCCATGTAAGTGCATCCGCGGTAATCATGAATACATGCAAGTAAATGACGCCTCCTCCGTCAAAGCTTTCATCATTGCAGACGTTTAGAGCTTAACATTCATAGTCTTTACAAGTGCCTTTTTTTTTTTTCCGCAGTCACTACATTGAAGCCCCAGATTGGAAAATTAGTGTACGAGGACCACAACCAGGTGTGAAAAATTGCTCATCATTCCTTGACGTTACTCGTCACGTGCTGATCGCTTGCCTGTCGTCGCCGGTCTAGATCTCTGTCGCGGACCTCCCTGGCTTGATCGAAGGCGCTCACATGAACAAAGGGATGGGACACAAGTTCCTCAAGCATGTGGAGAGAACCAAGCAGCTGCTGTTTGTGGTCTGTGAAACATGAATAACTCATCAGCAGTTGACGGGTGATAAAGATTCAACACATACGTTCTGGTTTGTTCGGATTTGGGAAAACATATTCCCATCGGAAACAATGCAAATTCTCAAATTCTTACGAGCACTGATTGTGTGAATCTTCGACACGCATGCGTTTCATTTTCAGTTTTGTTTGAAAAGGTGATGTTTTTTTCTAGGTGGACGTTTGCGGCTTCCAGCTCGCAAGTCAAACGCCGTTCAGGTCCGCTTTTGAGGCCGTGCAGCTGCTCACCAAGGTCACATTCATCAGGCGATGACGAAGTCACTCGGTTTCTTCTCTTTGAATTTAATCCTGACTTGTCTCTCTCATTTGCTTTCCAGGAGTTGGAGCTTTACAAGGAGGAGCTTGTGAGCAAACCAGCCCTACTGGTGGTCAACAAGATGGACCTGCCCGAGGCCAACCACAAATTAGAACAGCTGAAAGAGCAACTTCTCAACCCCGAAGGTAAACGCATCAGGTTACAATAAACAGGGCTTTTGTTGAACAGACGTTAAGAAACTGTCTGTGTGGTGCAGAGTTCTGCCATACGTTGCCCAATGACATGACACCGAAGAGTCACTTGGCATTCAGGCACGTCGTTCCCATCTCCGCCACCACCGGGCTCGGCGTCGACCGCTTGAAAGCGTTCATCCGAGAGTCGCTGGAGGAAGAAGCCTCCGAGGCCACGGAGATGTTCCGGCAACAAAGACTACAACTCCTGAGGCAACACTCACAATAAGCGCGTGGACTCGTGTACTGTATGTTAAGCAGTGGACTTTATCATCCAACGTTCATATGGCTTGAAGAGTTGTTTTAGAGAGCAGTCAAAACACTTAACAAAATATTCGATACACCTCCGAATCGGATTCAAGGGCTGCATCAAAGCATTCTGCCTTTACAAAGAAAGCCATTGTAAAGGATTGAAACAATCAGAGCGCTCATGATATCGTTTCAAGATTGTACTTTGTCATGGTGAACAGTGACACTTGCAACTGGGATTTATTTGATATTCATGTACTGTTGTTAACTATTTTTCAAAGAAGATATGTTGATTCTTCTTTGGCTGTGAGAATTTCCCTTGAGGGATTCCAATGTATCTATTAAAATAATTTAAAAAAAAGTTTCCTTTTGCAAGACCTAAAAAAATAGTCATCCCACCTCAGATGCTAGAAAATGAGACTATAGTAAGTTATTTCAAAAACCTTCGGACGATTAATGTGACCTACAACATGTACAATTCATTTAAAAAAAATCTTTTTAAAAGAGGAAGTAAACAACGGAGGTCATGTGGTTAAAACCCGGAATGTGTCATTTATAAAATTGAACAAACGTGTCGATGAAAGATTTATTTTATATTAAATATTACAATACAGAATAATTAGGACAAAAAATAGGGGGCTTGATTTTTGCATCAGTCTGTACAGCATACAGGCAATAGTAATTCACAAACAAAAGACAAGAGTGTCCACACAGGTATGACAAGTGGGGCGAACATCTTCCTTTGAAATGAAAGGATGTGACGTGTTGATATTTGGAGTCCTCCAGGGATACATTCAATGGACAGGCAGTCCTGCGCATGTCTGTTGGGTGAATTTTTGTCCATGACATCAAGACAAACACATTTCACCGAATGTAATGCAATATCATCGTTATTCTTAACATTAAAAAGTTGTGATGCTGATGAAGAGCTCTAGTTGAAGGCATTTCTCATTCATGGTCAACAACAAGCACTAATGGGCAAATCAATGTGTCAGTCATCAATACATCAAATGACTCCTGTACTGACCGTGTGAGCCGCCGCCGCTGTACATAATGTCAAGAATACAAAGGTACTTAATCCAAAATATACTACAGTGGTCGCAATATTAATTCAGTAGGGTGCCCTTCATAGTAACGCTAAAGCCTAATACAGACATGAATTACAAATGTGCTAAACAAAATGACACGATTAACTGTACAAACAATAAGTTATGTCGTGTTTTATTAACACCTCCTTCCCACCACTCATAAAATAGCAAGCGAATGAATTTTTTTACCGTTTGGATTTCATCATTGACATTTAAAGACAATAAAATTAGGTAAAGTGTTTCTCTGTCATGCTCGTTTCCCAGTTATGCTCCGTGTAGAGCACAGTTGTCAAACGCAAGGCCCGGGGGCCCGATCTGGTCCACCACATCATTTTATGTGGCCTGTAACACCAAATCAAACATGTTAACTTCCACGATGTTACCAAATTTACCTAGATTCATATTCTCATACATAATAAGAGATATTGTGATCATTTTCTTGTTGCCAAATCCTTCACTACAGTAACTTAAACAACATTGAATAAACCGTTCTTCTTGACTTCTTTCTATGGTCGCAGTCATAACGGCCCTCCAAGGGAAAGGGTAACTAAAACGTGGCCCGTGACCAAAATGGGTTTGACACTCCTGGTGTAGAGGAATAACTCGGTATAACTGTTATGCTGTTGGTCCACAAAGAACAGTCCGGGGTCGGGGAACACACAAAGAGCGGTTTGATCCGGCCCGCCATGGAATTCTCAAAACAAATCACACCTCACAGGAGCTGTCATTTCCAATTATTCTTGGACAATGTTTTTGTCATTAATTTATTATGACCCTTGGAGGACTTTAGGAGGAAGGTCACCCATTCCTATTAAAACAACAAATGCACACTTGTGGTTCCAAGAGTTGTGCTAAACCACCGAGGAGATTGCTAGCTAGATTAGCCAGCTAACTAGCGAGATTGAGACGTTAAACAGAAAGCTAGCCATGGAAGGAACAACCTGGTTTGTTGTGTGATTTGCGTGTTTGTGCAATGTCTTTATGAAGTTATTTACCACAATACAAATGACAAAAATAGTTTGCAACCACACGAAGTTATCACAAAAGCTAACAGTTCGCCAAGTTCTTCTTCTAGGACTGCTGTTTTTTCTTCTTGTATATGGCACCATGCTGCCTCTGACAGGTCATTCTTGGTACTTCAACAGACTTCAAAACTCACCATTTGTGGTGGAGTTTTGGTTGCATGTGGTCCACTTTTTTTCCTCGCACATTTTAGAAATCGGTTAAGATGTTGAAAGTGTGGTATAATTAATACAACTGCAAAACACAAATTTAAGAAATTTAAGAAATTCGTAACATTTTTGAACAATTACTCCTGTTACAATCCGAGTAACACAAATTACGATGCATTTTACTATTGTGGAGACCACACGTTGGCATGTATTCCTCCTCTCTCTCTTGCTCAGTTTTTACCACCTTCGTGCACAATCCAACTTTCTCATTTTTGGTTGGATTTTTATTTACTGCTCATAAATTATCGGATGAGCTAAATGTCAATCACTACAGTAGCACCGCAGATTTGTCTTAATGTCACCCAGTGTATACATGATGAAAAAGTAACACAAAAATGAGCAACAACGCTAAAAGTGGATGTGTGTGCACCCCGCTTTGTACCACACCAATATGCATCTTTTCTGCTCTAATTGTGAAAGGGGAGGAAGGTCTCGGCAAAGGGTGGACTTAATAATGGATGTAACGCGATGAGTGAGAGGTACGTACACCAAACACATAGAGCAATGGGACAGGCGGCTTTTCTGGGGGATTCTGTCAAACTGGGGGTCTGGAGAGTAATCCGCAATATATAAAAGTATGGCATACAGTAATCCCTCGTTTATCGCGGTTAATGGGGACCAAAACCACCCGCGATAAACGAAAATCCGCAAAGTAGCGACCAATAAACATATACAGGTAAAAAAAAAAAAAAAATTGACACTCCTGGTGTAAATTTTATTTTTTTTTTAAGTCCGCGAAAAGTCCGCAAACGTTCCGCGAGAAGCTGCAAAACAACAGCGAGTCACATAGAGCAACATATACAGTACCGTACTCCATGTATATAAAAAAAAAATTATGAATATGTTTGAAAAAAATCCTCGATGCACTGAAGCCGCGATAAACGAACCGCGAAATAGCGAGGGATTACTGTATTGTTTTTTAAAAAAGTGTAAATATACTTTTTCCCACCAATAAAACAAATAATTGAACTGCTTTTTTCCTCCCTACCTTTGTTTTGGGCCAATTAAAAACTCTGAAAAAAGGTTTATTATTATAGAAACAAAAGGCCATGTTTTTTAGTGGATAAAAGGTGCATTTTTGAGAATATAGACCATTTTTTAATTTCTTTTTTTGAATAAAGTAGTAATGACCAGAATAAGAGACGCAGTGCTTTGAGAATGGAATTGTATGTGTGATACTCACTTATGACTTTATCTTGGAAAAATACGACTTCATTCTCGTAACATGCCAACCTTTTTCTTAAAAAATAATCATTTTCAGTCCTATAACATTATCGTTATGGGGTGCATATTGCAGTTTACGTTTAGCCATCTTCAAGATCACTACTGTAGTAGTCTTTACAAAAATGTCTCCTCTGGACCTCGAAAATTGTTCCTGCTCCCCCAAGTGGACCAAATATATTTGTACATTCTGTCGTGAATGGAGACTGCAGCATTAGTCGTCACACAGCAGTTTAAAAAAAATGCACAGTTTGCTTTACATATGTACACAACATACAGCGAGGAGGAGGGTGCGTGTTCATCTCCCATTTTTATGAGCGATGATGCAATATTGTTTTTTCTGATGAAAAGAGAGAGAGAGCAAGAAATGTGAAACTGTGTGCCCCTCGCATGCGTTGTGTCCAAAAGGTACCTTTGGAGCTGCTTCATGCATTCATTCAGTGTTTGTAGCCACAAATGCTCCACGAAATCCAGTGAGGCAGCAAAGAAGTGTGGACCACACGGAGTGGGGTTGAAAAGGATGGCTCAAGGTGTTGTTGTTTTTGTTTTTTTTCTCTGGGAGGGTGGGGGGGAGTAGGTCTGAGCTCCAGTTCTGCACCTCTTCGGGTTCATCCAGCGTCTTGACTGATGAGATGCTTGTCACTCATCCTGGTCTACGTTCGGAGTCCATTTTGTTTTGTTGTTGTGCGCGTGTGTGTCTTCACCTCATGACAATGTGTTTTCTTCTGCGCTTATATTGACGTCTCCCACAGCTGCAGAGAGAACAGGAGAAGAAAAATGTGTTTCCAAAGCCATCATGACATTTACCTATCTATAGCAGTTGTTGGAATTAAGTGTGTATGTCATGACATTAAATTCATCAAAAGTACAATTTACAATGATAATAAAGCTTTGGATTTTATTTAATTTATTGTGTTGGCTGTCATTTGTTGTGGTGTAGAAAAACACAGCACGGGTGTCATTTTTGTCACGAGCAATATCGTAGTTCCGGTTTGCCTCAGAGGGCTGTTACGTAACCATATAAATGTTTCACCACCTCATATCACATACACACAAGATATAGACCAGATAGTTAGTGTTGAAATCTAAAGTCAAGGATAATATTTTGCGCCGAGTATTATTAAAGTTACTGTAAAAAGAATTAATTAAATTAATGAAAAAGAAAATGATCCATGACATCATGGATTACATATCACTCTTCAGTTTGTTCGACCACAAACATTGCATCATCAAATATAGCAAGCCATTTTCCCAATTTTAGACAGACAGCTTAACAACTGACCCTGGCGCTCTGCCTGTTTGCTTTCCGCTGGTCGTCGGGCAGAGGCGGCATGGGGTAAGGGTATCTCCTGCTGGATGCGATGGATCCTGTAGAGGAAGTGGGAGACTTGGCGGGGGAAAGGGTCCTGCGGGGAAAAGAATAAAGGACATCATTTCAAAAAAATCCAAAACTAGCGTTCGGATTCAATACAATTGTCAAAGGTTGCCCCGAAACGCTGCTGTGGCTTGTCAGCCGAAGCACACATACACCAAATCATCATCAGCTAGTATGTGCAAACTAAGTACAGCAGAGGGCAAGCCAGTTCCCAGCAGTGTAGCTGCACTCGTGCTCCCTCACATCATAGACTCACATTTTTTTTTTTTTTTTTAGTTCATAGCAACATCACCCCGAAGGAGTGTAGTCCAACGTGAGGAATGCTGAGTGTGAGGACAGAGCACATGTGAACAGTGCTGGGAAAAGAGCGAGAGCAGCCTCAGAGGACACCAACCTGGCGGACGAGTCAAGGAGCCACAATGAACCTGAGCCTGACACCGAATCAGCAAAGTGGAGGAGAGAGAGACGAGATGCAACATGCTGTCTTTATTTACATTCCTAATACAGTTTAACACTTGGAATTTATATGGACTGTATATACAGTAAAATGATTGACAAATTCCCCTACTGTCTGACAGGGTTATCCAGTATCGTAATGTGTTTTAATGCGTATTCTTTCCATTTTTGTGTAAGCTCTCATCCACCTGATGCCTTCTAATGAACTTCAGGGATGCGTCATGACCAATTAAAAAATATTTGAATATAACCCAGCAGAAATGACAGCGAATGTGAACCGCCCACCCCCTCTCAGCATCTCTCCTCTGTTGTTATGGAAACAATATCGTCGTGGGCAACAGTGTTCAGAGTGGCGACCTGCTGGTGGTCAAAGGAGACGCACAGTGTTGGACACACACGCACACACACACACACACACACGCACGCACACGCACACGCACACACACGCGCGCACACACACACACACACGCGCACACACACACTTGATGCCACAACGATGAACATGCAGACGCGAGAGGACATGAAGTGGGGCTTTGAGAAAACGGACACGAACACTCACATTCAACATAAATAGACATTTTGGATCAACATAAAAAAGCCAGAAGAGCCAGACAAAATTGGTATCTTGTTTGCTTTGCAGCAATCCCTCCCTGGAACAGATTTTTGTTGTTGTTGTAATGTCGTAATTTCATTTAGCTTGCCCAAGCCGTAAATGAAAGCAAAGAAAGCGGCGGGAAGGAGGAGGAGGAGGAGGAGGAGGACGAGGGATGAGACAGTCTGAGATAATACCTAAGGTACGGTCCTTGCGTGTTTTTATTCACATCTTCTACCCATTTAGTTACATCATAATAGTCTGTTTTGTCGTGAGGGGTTAAATACCTGTGGGAGGGGAGAGGGGGTGATAGACACAAACAAGGAGAGGAGAGGGAAGGAAAGAATGAAAGGATAGAAAAGGAGCGAGTGTTGGGAGGGAGGGAGGGAGGGAGGGAGGAAGAGGAGACATTTTAAGAGAGCAGAGCAGAGACATCCTCAACAGACAGCACGATGCAACTGGCCAGTGGATGAACTTTATGGATGAGAAAAAAAAAAAAATCTCACACATATATATATACATACACACACACATACACACACACACACACACACACACACACACACACCACCCTGCATTGTGCATTCCAAGGCTCGACAACATCATCACATCATTCCAATGTCAGTGGCATGCTTGCTATGCAAAGAGATGCAAACTCCTTGTGATGCCAAACACAGCCTGTGCGCACAGGCGTCATCACGGTGCATTCGCAGGCATACGCTAAATAACAAGGTGCACCTACAGTGGACATAAAGTCTACACACCCCTATTCAAAATACCCAGACCAAGATACAGTATATCATTCTCAACCTTTTTCACCAATAATGTGACATATAACTTATTTAATATGGCCATAGCAACAAATTAAAGTAACCATTTATACCAGGAGTGGGCAAACTTTTGATTTTTACAACTGACAGGTTATAGGTTATAGAAAAAAAAAATCTGTAAAATACTAATGTTGACAAAAATGTTTTTTTAATTTAAAATGTTAATATTTAAATGTGTATTCTAATTAACAATTATTTATTAAAATACATAACATTTATAGTGTATAAAAGTATAATTTACCAAGATTTTTATTCTATTACTGAAAATGAAATTTTGGATGTATTAAAAAAAAAAAAAAAAAAAACATTTTAATAAATGATTGGTGGGCCGCAACCATAGTTCGCCCACCCCTGGTTCAGGTTGTCCCACCAGATGTTTTCCTCCCGTGCCGGAGCATTTTGCTCACCCACCGCCCATCATGCACTGAAAAAAAACGGTGTGTTGAATATACTCAAATTTCTGTCGTCAAGTGGGTGCACAAAATAAAATCACCTGGATTCAGATATATTTTTAATGAGATGTATAGTCTACTTAAAAAATGTATTTGGATCCAGATTATTTTATTTCGTGTAACCACCCCATCAAATAAAATGGAATAAATTCAACCGCATTTTTTTTTCACTGTGGGGGAACTTACTCTGTGGAGTTTGAGCGAGCACGGAACTTCTTTCCTTTCAGTTTCTTGCGATGGCCGCTCATGTTTCCTGGCAATAGAAAAAAGGCAAAGGTCGTAAAAGTGTACGGCAGAGGTGACCTCCTGCTGCGTTTGCCGGCTGTTACCTTGCCACGAGTTGCTCCTTGGTCGCCCGTTTTCACAAATGTCAGAGATGTGTTTGGCGTCTGGGATTCTCTCACTCCACGAGTGGGACAGGCCATTTGATCTACACGCACGCATGCACACACACACACACACACGCACACACACACACACACACACACACACACACACACACACACACACACACACACACACACACACACACACACATAAGGATACCGTTGATATTAATGTGCATTTATTGTTTTCAGAGATGGGATTTGTGGCAGACAGCAACAAAATGAGCAGCAGACTGACACATTATAAAGGCTACAAGTGACAAGATGCTCTGACACCTAAATGGAGGTACTAAAAATCTTAAGTGGTTTTGCACAATTCAAAAACCAACGAAGAAGAAGAAGAAGCAGAAGAAGGCAATGTACACTTAAGTTTTAGTTCTGTTTCATGTTGTCAGATTCCAGGCACATGCAGTAATTTTTTTGTATGTCACTTCACACTTAAAAATGATCAAAATGATTATTTCTAATAATCTAAAATATAAAATATCTTTGCTCACCTATGCCAGCAACATATCGTGACAGGCGGAACAATTAACGGCAGAAGCTCCAATGAACCGTGTCTACACATACATAAAATATATATCTACACAAAAAAATGAAGCCTACCGGCCAACTGACATGAGGCTTTTTTTTTTTTAACTGCAGCCTTTGCAATTTGAAAATTGCATTCTACTACCGTGCAATGTCAATATGAATGTGATTAATTGCTCAGGCCTAATTACAGTAGCAATAGGTGTCATTTTTGAGACATTTTTTGTTTGGTGGTGTGCCGCGAGATTTTCTTTTTCGTATAAAATAAGTGCCTTGGCTCAAGAAAGTTTGTGAAACGCTGCCGAGGGGTAAAGGTTTGACATTTAGAATGCATGATGACACATGGACATGCGATGCATAGAGTGACTGACCTGCCAACCGACGAAGGCGCCGATGGTACTGTTTACACACACACACACACACACACACACACACACCCACACCCACACACACACACACACACACACACACACACACACACACACACACAAAACCGACACACACTGCAGTGAGCGAATGAATGAAGGATGGCAAGATGGCGCACCTGAAGCCAAACAGTGAGATGTTCTGTGTAATGGAGGGGATGGAAGGAGTGAAGGACAGGGCGCATATCTGAAGATGCGACAGACACGCTGACCTCTTCTTGGAGCTGCAGCCCGAGTTTGTGCTCACGCCGGGCGGCATGTCGCTGTAGAAAGAATCGGCGTCGCTGGGCTTTGTCACATAGTCACCTGGCGGCATTTGACTGCGCATACAACAGACATTATTCTGTACATACGTGTACATCCATAGAATGTTTGTTTCATTTATTTCCCCGCCAATCTGCCAAAAAGAAATTGCGACATTTTCCAACTGGTGAAAGACAAGTTATTGATCACTGATCAGTGTAGTTATATTAAAAAAAACGAAAAACAAAACAGTGATTAAAAAAAGAATTGCACAACACTGTTTTTCCCTTACTTGTTATGACTGCAAACAGCAGTTTATTAACTCCATTCGTGTAAAAATTCATTTTTGGAATACAGTACTATTAAATTACCAGCCAACAGTAAATTACAATTTATGTGAAGTGAAAATGGACGTTAAACACAAAAAATATTATTTTCGAGATGTAGTTTTTCTTATTTTGGTGGTTGTTTCTATATTAGCAGTTCAAGTGTATGTAGTGTGTGTATATTGCTGTTGTGACAACTTAATTTTACTTACGGAACGAATAAAGTATACCATAATTAGTAAATTCACTTTTTAAAGCACTCGAATTTTTACTTCATTTCATTGACAAAAACATCTTATAAATGTTAGCGTTTGGCTGTTTTGTTAATGTGCGTTAACTACAACCTTGCTCATCATTGCTGTAGATTTGGCGCTGCTAAAAGTTGCAATCACAATCTCATATTTTAAGCAAGCATGGCCCCAGAAAATGTAATCGTTAAAAAAAAAAATAAAAAAAAAAGCTTGAAGCACAAACTCACAGCACGTGAAAATCAGAAAATATTGTTGAGTGAACAAACCGGCAGAATCTTCGGTGAACCTCTGACTCCACGTAGCATCTCTGCTTATACCTCCTGTGAAGAGGCGGACCATTACTCAGCGTTGGAACACGACCGCTGCCAAATTTGTTGCAACATGTTCATGTTTATTATTATCGTAGCTCAAAGCCTTTACATTGTCCTCCCAATTGCAGTGCAAGACTAAGAACAGTACTCATTCACACACTGGTCACAACATTAATTGCATTTTACTACCATCATGACTAACATTTAAAAACACTAAAATAGTTGGCCTAATTGAAAAAAAAAATTAATTAAATTTAAATTTAAAAAAAAAACAAGGCAGAGGGAAAAAAATGTGTTTTAATATTATTGTCAAATTATACAGTTTCAACATAAAAACTGTGCTGGAATATCGGGGGAAAAATAATGAATTATTCTATTAAAATGTATTGCACATAAAAAAATAAAATAAAATAAATCATTAAAAATTTAAAACAAAAGTTCTCAGAGATTAAATGCTAATGTATTGATCTTAAAAGCTAAATATAACTGAACTGTATTTAGGTGGTGATTCTTACGCACGCCACTCGAGGTCGCCATCTCCCTTTAGTGGTGCTCATACCACATTTTGAGAGTGCAGTTGTACACCACTTCCGTAAGTGTCCTTCAAAGCTTCACATGATTATATTTGTAAAGGACTCAGTTTCCTAAATGCTATTTGGATGGCATTAGATTGTGTCGGTCTTCCTCATAAAGTTGTTAAAAGAGTTCGGTGTTGTGTTGTCGTCACTCACTTGTAGCACCAGGCCGTGACAGCCAGGATGAGGGCGAGGAAGAGGATGGAGCCAACGATGGCACTGATGATGATGTTGGTACTGGTGATGCCTGACGCACAGAGACAGTCAGACACATTTGTGTTATTGCCGTTGCCGTTTCAAGCCATTCGAGGACAAGCAGAACCACACAAGGAGGCACACTTGGCAAGGAAAGTGTCAGCGGAGCAAAAAGAGGAACAGTGGGTTTCAAACGCTGCTATCTTCTCATTCTTTCTATTCTGAAGGGGTTCCCGATCGGGGTTGTCATCGAAAACGTCACGGGTCCATTCGATAAATTTCAATTCGGGATGGTAGGAGTGGAAAGACTCAGGAAATGACAAGTCAATTACAAGCATTAAAAAAAAAAAAAAGGAACTCAAATCTAACCTCAAGTCGCGCCGTCAAAGCCACCGGCCTGTCGACAAAGAATGTGTGTAAACAAAAAAACAACGAATGATGATGGGCAATGAACAAAAGCATGAAATAGTCAGAGAGCAACATATTAGAAATGTGATGTTTTGTTTGACAGGGAGTAAATAAAAATCACACGTGGATGAGAGGACGAGAGTAGCAAGTAGGTGGCAAAGAATGGGGAGCGCTACCTGAAACTGAGGCTGTGGGTCCCACCACAAGATAACTGAGAGGCGACGTGGAGTTGCAGTCCTCTCCGGCCCAGCCCAGGTAACACACGCACTTCAGTTCATTGCTGCACACCTGTATCCAAATAAAGTCGTGCTTCTTTAATGTAATACCCAACTACCGCCAAGCCTTCGAAGAATTTGGGGAGACATGATTTTCATCCATGGGCCATCACAGCAAGACCATCAGTGCTGGGTAAAATGCGATCAGAAGCACTGCTCATTCTAATCTGCCCAGAGGCGTCAGGATCAGCAGTGCCGGCCAGTGTAACTTAAACTAGATTACCATTTCACCTATCGGCTTTCAAATTTGCCTCATATGGCCAGCGAGATGGCTCACAAATCATGTCAGGCTTTTTCCATCCTCTGATTGGTTGGTCAGAGCAAAATTTGTTGCAGCCCAGTTCAACAGGCAAAACACTTTAACACTTAGTTGAATTCATTCCGTGAGCATGCTCGTAACTCAAAACACCTCTCTCTTAAACCGTGTTTTTCCACTGAAATGAATGGAAATACCCTTAATCTGTTCTCCCGCCCACCCCCTACCCCCCAAAAAAACCCAACCAAAACTTGTGTGAGTGTTTTGAAATAGCGCTGTATAATTATAAAATTATTACGAAAACTAAAAATGTAACAGTTTTTACCACATTATTTTTCAGTTCAATTCATTATGCGCCTTGGTCTCCAGGCAGTGTCATATAAAAATAAACATACGGATTTGCATGAAACCGGTCAATCCTCAGTAAACTGCGGGAATATTTGCAGTTCTTCACAGAAGAAAAACAATACATACTGTGTAGTGTTGTTATATTCTCTGTCTACATGTGCTGCTCCACCATTTGTGTTCAAATATGCATTGCTTCAAGATTTATAACACTACAACACCCATGCTATTCATTAGCCTGTCGATGGCAATTGGCATTGCTATTAGCATTAAGCTAAACATGTTTTTTTTTCTTGCGTTGTCATGTGATTACATAAATATGGGTAAATAATGGGTAAATGATATCATATAATAGCATTGCTGTTAGCATTAAGCTAAACAGACATTTTTTTTTTGTCTTTTTCTTGCGTTGTCATGTGATTACATAAACATGGGTAAATAATGGGTAAATGATATCATATAATACAATACAATACAATAGTGGAGTTGTTAAGAAGTGGATTAAGTCGGGTACATCTCCACTCAAGGCCCAAGTAACAAATTTGCACCTTATCACTGTGAATAGTTAAGAATGCCTGCATGTGTGGGTGCTTTGTACCCCGTGTCCTGAGCAGATGCTTTTGTCGGTGGTTCCGGGACAGATGCTGAAGTTGAACTGCTGGATGGGGAGACACTTGTGGTTGAAACAGATGCGGTCTGTCCCGCAGACCGTGCCATCCTCCACGTAGCCCAGGTCGGTGTCTCCATCGATCAGCACGTGGGCACCACTGACACACACACACACACACACACACACACACACACACACACACACACACACAAGGTCGATTTGGCGGTTAGGCCTGCTTTTGTGTTCTAACTGTGGTTAACAACAACTGCATACCTGCAGTCCAGAGAGGCACTATGTCTTGCCACTGAGAAGGACGTCAGGCCTCCCTGCAGTTCTCCCAGTCGCGGGGCAGGTGAGATGTTGGAGCACAGCAGGTAACCACAGTGAACGTCCCTGACGGACGGAGGTGCAAATAAATCAGTGCAGTGGAGATGAGCAGGAAATTAAGCTCCGCACACGCAACTTACTGCTTGTTACACTGGATCCACGTGTCTTTGTCCCGCCCACAGTTGCCCTTCTCGGTGCCCTCAATGTTGAGCTTCTCGTAACAGAACTTATCAGCCGCCGTGGCCTCTGGATGTTGAACCACATGACACAAAGTCGCAGATTGAGAGTGCGACTCGTGTATCAAGCGTGCTGGCGCGTTTGCTCGGTTTACGTTTGTGTATGATTGGACGTTGTTGTTTTTGCATGAGACGCCTACAATATGTGCAGCGTGTGTCTAAATGGACTCATTCTATTTACATTATGTGCAGGGATGTACTGGGACTACAATTCGGCCCCCACCCCCTTCTTATATGTGTGTATGTAAATTAACAAATGGTAATATGATTGCGTGTGAATGGACAGAAAAAGTGTGTTTGTTATGTGAGTGGATGTATTTGGTATATTGACGTCATAATGGTATATGAGGGACTACAACGCAGAAATATTTACTGAACCAAAACAAGAATGCTGTATTTGACTTACTCTCTCCCCAAATGTACTTGCACTGTTTATCTTTGGTTTTGCATCTCCCGTTAAAGCAGCGCCCCTAAAGAAGAAAAATTACATGTCAAGAGTGTGCCGAGTATTTACAGAAATGTCTCAAAACGGGGTTATAACAGTTTGGGATTTTTCATTGTAGTTACTTTATATTTTGCTTTGACTTTTGTTTATTAAATTCAGTTCGTTTTCAGGAGTTTTTAGAGCAAGTTTGGGGGGGAAATGCGTCATTTTAGTTTAGTTTTTATTAGTTTTAGTATTACCGGTAGTTTTTTTTTCTAATACAGGATATGGAATATTGGCCAAGTGCAGGATTAAAAAAAAGTAGACCAAAAGAAAACTCCCAAATGACTGTTCAACCTTCCTTCGTCTATAGCTACAGATGTACAGCAATACAGAAATCAATAAATTTAAAAGGAAGCCAGCAGGGCATTTACCATTATTTCGTTAACAATATTTTTTCATTTTGAGTTACATTTTTTTCTTTCGTTTCCAGTAACAATAATCATCTTGGTTCAAGACAGTTAAGATGTGATGGGACCGCCTCACCTGGTCTTTTTCACACGTGTAACCGTCCATCTTGTGCACATTTGGTGGACACTGTCAAAAGAAGACGTGCCTCATGCTAGTCAGTTCGGCAGGTCGGCTTCGAGGCTGAGTGGCTTTTGCTCACCTGGCTGGAGTTTCCTGTGCAGTTTTCGGGAATGTCACAGTCATTCACCGCATCTCGACACACGACCCCCAGGAATTCCATCTGTGGCAGATAAAAGAATAACGTCATGATGAACAGTGCTTTAAGAAAGAAAGGCTTGGCAGTGACTTGTTTCCTACCTGGCAGTTTTTACAGCAGAGTCCGTTGCTACATTTGGATCCTTGAGTCAGGGTGCACTTTTTACAGCAGTTTTCTCCCTCTCTTGCACACTCCTGTTGGAAGAGAGCAGCTTGTTTTTGATTACTTATTCATTTAAATGGTTATTTCATGTAACATTTGCTTTTTAGAACATTCCATTAGACAACTCTGTGTGCAAACTTTAATCAGGTGTCATGCTTCATTAGACTACCAAGTCTGACACTGTGTGATGTTGCTGCTGGGTAATTAGGCCATCACAAAACTGTGTATTTTTCTTTACAAAGAAAAAAAAAATTCTCAATGCAGTTTCGATGGCCATCAATTAGTTGTGGCTTTTGTTAATTGCAGAATCCGCAAATATGTGTTCCACTGTATGGTTTTAATTCGTGATATCACCATTCACCACTAGATGGCAGACATACATATCTTAGCTTCACTTGCATCTGATCATTTTTTTGCGGATTTAGAATGATATGCAGGAATAATATCTTTTTGAGTGCACTGATTTTGTATAAAAAATGCACAAAATGGGCTCTTGCACTTAATATTGGTTTGCTGTTCAGCAGTTTTGTGCCATTCTTGAACTGGGATATTTATACAATACATCTTTATTTATATAGCGCTTTCATAACAGCTGCAGACGCACGAGAGCGTAGAAAAAAAAATCGCAGTATGTGGTTATTTTTGATAAAACCCTTTGTTTTTGAAAGCTGCACCTTTTATTCGTGCATTGAGAAATGTATTATGAAAAATGAAATATTAAGATACTATGATGTATATTGGTTCAATTTAAAAAAACTAAATGCAATTTTTGTTATATATCTGGTTAGAAAAGTGTGTGGTCCTATGTGGCCTCCCCAATAGCGCTGATGAAAAATGATGCCCCCCTCCCTCCTTTCATCATTGAAGTTGCCCATCCCTGCTGACAACAACTCACCACTGGGCTGCCACAGTCACACTCCTCCCCTGTTTCCACAAAGCCATTACCACATTCGGGAGGCTCCAGCAGCTGATGAACAAACAAAATAATAACTTAAAAAAAAGAAAGGTTGAAACATTTCTATCTAGGATTTTATTCTATATATCCTATTTTATGAATCGGCGTAGGGGAAGAAAACTGTACTGTGAAGAAAACATACTTTGGTGGGCTTGTTGAACAGACAGGTTCCTCCACCACTGTTTAGGAAGTTGTGGTATTCCTCCACGTTACAGTCGGAGAACCTCTTGGGCAGGTAGAAGCTGTTCAGCACAACCACAGCATATATGGGGCCCATACCATAAATGTCGTCTTTTATCAGGGAAATACTCATAGCTCAGAGGAGATCCTTTCTATGATTTATATGTAGAGATGATTATAGAACTGGGAACAGAGCCAGTGATATTCACTTGATTCCAGGATGCATGACGTTACTTTGTCAGAGTAATGAACCTCAATTAATGTGGAAGACTATAATTTGAACAGTTATTGTATCGCCCTTCTATGAGCTCATCCATGCTATTCATCAATACTCACAAGAATGGCATGAGTAGAATTATGTAGCACTGGGACATCTCAAGTACTTTATCACATCCGCTTTTCTTTAATCTATGGCCACTATACAGTAACTCACTAAAATCTCATCAAGAGAGAGACAGACTGTCAGAGATGATTCTAATGTTGAAGTCACTGTACTATAAAAATATGTATTGCTTCCTGTAATTGCAACACAAATCTGAATGGAGTTGAAGAAGGTTGATCATATCAAAGATGACATGAGCAATAATTTGAGCGAAGGATTGGACCTACAATGGACTACGATCCGGTTCACACAAAGTGTTAAGTACTGGATATCCTTTAAAGTAAACTCGATTTTTTTTGTTTGAGCAAATAAACAATAATCCATGAAACTTGTCCCTTGTCACTCACTTTCAACTCTCTCTCACTCTTCCTCCCTCTCTCGCTCTCACACACACACACACACACACACACACACACACACACACATAGCTTGTCAGACACACAAGTAAACAGGCGCGCAGGCAAAATGCACACTCAGGAGCAAGCATGCATGCATAAGAGGACTCCCGCACGTGCTTGAGAGCCGTGTCTGTGTAGAAATGAGGGCACATCTCTGCAGACTCCTACTCTACCTGCCAAGCACTGTGCTTTATTTGAAGCTGCAATTACAGAATCTCTGTAATTTCCGTCTGACTCTGCCACTCAAAGCTTTTCTCTCAGAATATCACCACTTTTTTTTTTGTTGTTGTTGCTGTATTCTTTACCTGTTTATGCCTTTTTAAAAATATGACCGCCGGGGTTGAGATCTTTTCCTTCACGCTGCGTTACGTCATGACTACGGCTTGTT